CGTGTATGGATCGTGTTTCAACGTTCAAATCTACACTTTCTGACATACATTAATTTAGTTCACAACGAACGAGCTAGATTCGGTCTTGTTTGGTAGGTAATTTTTTAAATGTGTCAAAAAATAGTGCTAAAAAATTAATAATTTAATTAGGTGATTTCAAATCGGTTCGTACCTTAGATTTTTAAAAAAGGGAAAGGAAAACGGTGGTTTAGCCGAAATATGGATAGTTTGATACATAATTAGCAAGATATGCATAGTCCATAGTTGGAATTGAAAAGATGATTGCAGGAGAAAAAGCAAAGAGAGAAAGAGAGAGGTGACCAACCGGTGAGAGAGGAGCGAGGAAGAAGGAGGAGAATGGGGTCCGTAGGAAAGATGTCGGCCATTTGTGTCGCCACTGTAGTCAAAATGTTTGGTTTCTTCTTTCAAAGTTTGCATGTCGCACCACAATCTCTATATTGATTTCATTACACAGACAAAAATCCAACCAGCGTATGTGCATGTGTTATGTCTACGTGGTCCCATTCCCCCCCTTTTTTCGATGAATAAAGTTACTCCACATACCGCACCTTTTCTTTCATCGCCCACTTTCTCCTACTGCTTTCAATCTTTTCCTTCTTCCTCTTCCATCTCATCACTGTTAATCCAATCAACATTGGATTAATTGATGTTAAAGGAAACTCTAGTTGAACTTACATTTTTGTTCTTATTAAATTAAATCATTGAGATTATAGGCTTGGAAGTAGTTGCACCAGAGAGAAAGGGTCTTGTTAAAAAAATTGAAAGCAAAGCTTTTTTTTTTTTTTTATCAATTAAAATATATTTAAAAATTATAAGCGACTTATATTGATAATATTTTTTTGAAAAATTCTAATTTTAATTATTTAATTAACACAATAGCTCGTGAATCAACGATAAAAAATGTTTCAGTTTTCAGTTTGAATTACATAAATCTAGTTATGTTAATATAATTATATTTAATTCGAATAAAATTTCATCCAGAAATATATATATATATATATATATATATATATATGGTCTAGAAATTTAAAAAAAAAAGAAAAAGAGAAGTGCAGAATAAATTATGAACTGACTGTGAAACATGAAAAAAAGATATAATAATTATTTCAAATTTTTGGAAAAATAGCATATCTTGTTTCAATAATATATTTTGATTTTTTTTATGCTCTAAAAGAAGCGTGAAAATATTATATTTGTACTTCATGTTATGCACAATTAAAAAACAAAAGAGAAGCAGGAAGATAATGTCAAAAGAAAAAACAAGTGTGTATAAAATGTAAAACAATTTTAATATTAAATAAATGTTATAGTTTTGTAAAGCAAAAAAAGTTAGCGCAGTGGTGAAACGCTTGGCATTCCCTACTATGGTAAACCTGTCACAGGAGCTTCCACGTGATTGTTGGTCCTCTACCTTAAATACTCTTAGAGGCAATAATTCAGCGGCAAGTGGTTTAGAGTTGAACATAATTGATTCTAATAAAATTGATTGAGTTATTGAAATGAAGTTAAGATAAATGTATAAATTAATTTAAATTATTTATTTTTCTTATAAAGTGTGAAAATTGATTTCTCAACTTTAAAACAAACAATTATCGCTATTTATAATTTTTACTTTGTTCAAAAAAATCAATTAATTTCTTAAGATAATTTGATAAAAGATTGAGAGAAAAAAGAAGGTATTAGTATCAGTAGGCTGCAGCATCATGTCCAAGCTTTAAACTATAAAGGTTGTTGATTCGTTACGTTCTTGCTATTTTCATTCTCACCTACATGAAGGTGCCAAATGAGTAAGTAAAGGCCCCTAACCTTCCACACTAGCATACTCAAAATTCATGTCATTCATTGTTGAACTGCTGAGTACTTTAATTTTGTTTTGTTTATCAGCTTTTTTGCCCTATAAAATGGCATCGAAACTTCTGCACATTCAGCTGATGCCGGTCCTAATTAACTCCTATGTCATTGCACTTCGGGACTCAGCTGTATTATGTTAAGGGCCTGTTTGGTGAACTTTATATTTACTAGTGTATTAAGTGATGGATGGCAGTGAAAGTTTACTAATTAAGTTGATAATATATTAACACCTTATTTTTAAATATTAAACGTTATATTTACTAGTGTATCAAAGTGTCATACTTGTATATATATATATATATACTTAACTAGTGTGTGCCTAAATAAAAGACATTAAATTTATACAGTAATCTATCATTGGCCTACTTAATTGCTAGAAGCAAAACATGATAGCACATATTTTTATCATCAATGTTATTTGCCTGCTGTTTTTTTTTAATACCCCTCCTATTTTACAGGATGATAATAATTAAAAAAAATATAGTTTGGTTAAGTTATTTTATGAAATAAATAATTTTGTCTCAGACAAATTAATAAAGTATTATCTATTAAAAATTATGTAATCTTTAATACAATATTTTATCTTTATTAGTCGATTATAAATAGTATTATTTATCTCTGTAAGATAATTTAGACAAATTCAAAAAATATATATCTTTACACACTATCTTTTTTTCCTCTCCAATGAAGAATATTCAGGTAATAATAAATGAAATAATGTCATGTAGGCCCAATGTGCTAATCTTAAGCTTCAAAGTCCGTCTGGGAATTTTGAGAGATATTCTGTCGGAAGATGACAAGCCCCTGCCCTCATTCCCTTTTGCATGCGTGTAAGAGGAAAAAAAAGTATTAGTATTTGTTTTTCTTATTTTTAACCAAAAAGTGAAGTTACATTATTTATACAATAAATTTATATAACTTTTATAACATTAATCTTTTATTTTTCTCAATAATATTGATTTCTTTATATATATATATATATATATATCTTGTACAAATACAACGTATTGTAAAATAAAATAAAGTGCAACAACTATGCATTTTTTCTGTTAACTTTCACCCCACTCAGAGTTGTTGGGAAAAAAAATTACAAGGGTTATTAGTCTTTTATTCTTTTATGAGCTATGGACACAATTTTTACTTGTCTAGTACATAAATTATTATTGTTTAAAATGCCGTTCTATCCGATCTCTCTCTTGTTTTTTTCCCAGCAAATCAATTGCGTTTACTGAAACGAAAACAGCAGGAAATGCAAAAATAGATCAGAAAAATGAAATACGCCGTTTTACACCCTTATGTAATACCAATGTAGGTAAGAATAAAAAAATAGGAAAAACATATTAATTAATATATATTATTTTACTATCTCTGAAAAAGCATAATAAAACCAATGTGTAAATAACATAGCTATTTAATACTTCTCCACTTACTTAACCTTTAATTTCCTTGAAAAAATAAAAAGAAATTTAAAAGAAGCGTCCTCTTATAAAGGAAAATTAAAGGAGACAAGTAAAATTACGGGCGTGATCTGTATACACTGAAATTTGTCCTGTGATATGGAAATGTTCCTATGTTGCAGTTGATTTGATGGACTTCATAAACGTCCGGTAGTTGATTAGAGTTACCTTCAAATTTTTGACTGGCCGGCGTGTTAGTCTTATTTAACTGGGTCAAACAATGCTTATAGCTAGTCAGCTAGATTAAGTAGAATATAGGGTCTGGTTTTAAAAGAATTTTTAAATATTTTATTATTCTGATAAGTTATTTTCAACTTATTTTAATAAATTTATTAGGATAATTTATCAAAATAAACTGTTTTTGTCTATCTCAACAAATTACATTGTGAAATTAATGATATAAATGGGAGTTCCCCTTATAGTTTATTTAAAATATTAAACCTAAGAAATAATTTTATCTGCTGATATATTTTGCTGTTGATAAGGAAGCAAATACTTACCAGTAATTAAATGTATTATCTTGTGATCAGGAATATTAACGATCAATGGATATATATCTAATTGATAATAGATTAATATTTTCAACCATAGTATAATTAAGATCGAGAAATCCTATATGAAGCATTCCTCATGAAATTTGACCAATTCAAACTTGGCCAATCAAATTATCACATAACGAAACAAAGAATGCAGATTGGCTAATCAGCTTCTGACTTGCAACACTTTCCCCAATTTTCATACGAATCTCTTCGTACTGAATAAGATTTCTGCATAGAATACACGATAATCATTCATTTTGCATGCTGATCATTAGTATAAAAATGGAGCGCAAATAGTAGTGTGCTAATAAAATAAATTTTATGTTTGGTACAGAGTCGGCATTTCCTGATACACATTGCACTTGTGACAGAAATCATTCCATTGAAGCACACAAACTACGCGCTTTCTAACTTTTGCGTGGCGATAGAGTCTTGTTAATTATTTATGCATGACCATTGGTATCATCTAGTGTTTAATTAACAAATCTCAAGCTGCCACTTTTTGTCTCCCTCTTTCTGCTAGTTTTGGTACTCTTGAACAGCACAAAAATCATGCGTGTTCTACTAAAAGAAGAGGCAAAAAGGAAAACGGAAATTTTGACACAAACGATCTCAATAAAAAAAAGGCAAAACAAAAGAAAGAAAAAGAGACTGATCAGAAAAAAGAACAGAAAAATATACATAAAAAAATCTGACACGAATGCAACCAGTGCAGTAGGAGACGAACTGAAAAAAGCATCCAAAATTCCAAATACACGTATGTAGTAGAATAGAAACATATTATCGAGGTTCTAAATTGCTATCGCAATTTCTGAGACTTCCATGACCTTAATTCTACAGATAATTGCGGAAAAATGCAACTAATATAGCCACAATTATGGTTATTATGCGATAACAAAAACCTTAATATCGTGGATTTTGTGGACCGCAGTTTAAAACATTGGATACACTAAATGGTCTCAAACTCAGATTGAAGTAGCTAGCTAATCCTATCTTAGTTTTAAACGTCATTCTCAATTTAATTTACATTATGATATACCATAAACTTTCAAAGCTTGCCCTCATTACGAAACTTGATGTGAGCCACATTTTCCTATCCCAGTATAGCAATTTATATATAGATGGATCAAAATCAAAAGTTCCACAAAGTTTCTCCAGCAGAACATTCCGGCGAGTTTTGCGACGGTGGAGGGCTCATTCTGGGAGGGGATAGCAACATTCCCTCAGCCATGTCCACCAACAAACTTGGCATCGAGAATAAGGCTTCTTCATCCAGAAACTCAGTTTCAGACAAAGGACCAACGTTATCATCAACACAACCACTGTTGTCATGCTGAACTACTGCATTATTAGTTGTTGACGCGTTGTAGTTGTGGTTGGCTTCAGGCTTCATGAGCTCCGCTGCAGCAATAGCTGCAGTGCGGATGTCCGCAGGGGATTTGGATGCGGGTATTGGATACCTACTAACCGATTCAGGGAAGTTGGGAACAGCTTCCTCGCCTTTCAAGGCCAACGCCGCCACGTCGTAGGCGGCAGCGGCCATCTCCGGCGTGAGAAATGTGCCAAGCCATATGCGGCTTGTCTTACGTGGCTCACGGATTTCAGTTACCCATTTTCCTCCACGGCATCGAATTCCATGGTACACAAGGTGCCTCTTTGAATTTGAAGATGATGAGGCCATGCTGGTGGTGCTATTTGTGAGAAGAACAAGGCTTTTGGCACGTGGGCTAATGTGAAAGGAATAGGATGTGGTAGGCAAAAGAGGCGGGGTTAGGTGGGTCGTCTACTACTACTACTACTACTTCTTCTTCTAGTTTTACTTGTTTACTTGTTGGTAATTGTGGGAGTAAAAGGGTCAACTATATTTATAGTACTATATCCATGTATAAGACATAATGAAATTGTTTGGTGTAAGAATAGTGGATTTAAGATGAGATTAATTGTTTCTATTCTTGTTTGTATATATATATAGATGAAGAAAGGTGGGGACTATTATGGTTTAAGGGGAAAGAGGTATTAACAAGAGCAAGAGAGTGTGTCATAAAAGTGAAACCGTGGGGATCTCGCGGGATAACTGAGTAGTGTGATTTGGTTCGTACTAGAAAATGGTGGCGCTTGGTTGGGTTCCATTTGTTGACGTTTTAGAGAATAAGCCAATGGAAAACAAAAAGTATTTAGTTATAGAGAATGACAACGACAATATGACAACTCCCTAATTGGAAATGTAAATTTCTGTGGTACATATAAAGTAGTTCGTGTAGATGATCGTGATACGCATGACACACTGCATAGCCGCATTTAGCAAAGGTAGTAATTAACTTCATCAAGACCTTAATGTCACATCTTTTTATTTCCTCTTCCCTAATTAATACGTCATTCGATTGTATCCACGTGTACTCCAGATTTCGCAAGTCTTAGTATTAGTAAATCATCCACAAAATCAATGTTCACATATCTATTCACTGCTTTTGCATTTATCTCTTCAATTTAAATTTAAAAATCTAATTGGGACCTAAATTTCATAACATGTTTAGTGATTTTATAACGTATTTAATTTTAATCTTAAATTTACGTTTAAAATAATATAGACAATTATAACTTTTGTGCTAAATTAAAAAATGATGCAATGTTTTATTATAAAATTATTTTAAAAACTCAAGTTTTTAAACATATAAATTATATCACTTTAAAATTATTTTTAAACAAATTAATTATGTCAAATCAAGTTTATTTAAATTTAAATTTATAAATATTCACTCAAACACACATGTAACATAAATAATTCTATTATATTTTTATGCATATTTTTCTTAATATATTATTTATTTATTACATCATACATTACATTTTTCACCTTTTTTTTTCAGTCTCTCTTTTCTCTACTTGTTAAAAACCCATTTGGATGATTTCAAATAATCATTTTCGTTATAAATTAGGAACGACTCAGCATTTTCTTCCACTCTTAAACTATTTTTGACACTTGAATTGGTAAGCGTTACATATTCTCATTAAATGTAATATGATAAATAATAATAATAATACCTTATATTAAATAAATGTTAACAGCGTTCAAATATTTACAAAACAACTTGAACTACAGGTAAAAGTCAGGGGAGGTGGATTTTTCAATTGACAAAAAATTTGGTTGTCTTCGACTTCAATGTCTACACACATTCATTAATATAGATCTTATCATTAGTATGATAAATGTTAGGAATTTTTTAATATATTTTTTAAAATATTTTTTATTATTTATAAAATGATGTTGATATACATTATTAAATAATTTGAAAATTTTCTTTATTGACTGATACACATATATAAAATTTGTTAAATAATAAAAAGTATATTGTTATAATTCTTTTAAAATAAATGGCCAAATTGCAGTATTATACAAAGAAGTTTTGTAAAAGTGTTGCTGACATGCAGGGGCTATGAAAAGAATTGTTGCTGATGGGGGAATGAATAAAGATAAAGAGGTGGCTTTAGAAGTAGTTTTATTATTATTATTACAATATATAATTAATTAATGTAAGTACAAGTTGATAAATTAGCCAATAAGACCCTTAAGTGAAAAGAAGCCAACAACGTCCGTAGATTGTGGAGGGACAAATTTGTCAACTGAGGATAAAAATAGTGTCTTTTTTTTAACAATTTATTTTATTGTATTTGGCTTTGTTAGAATAGATTTTTTTTAACAAAAAAATCAAATATTAGTGTAAATATTTCAGTACGTGTTTTGTTGTTTACCTTCATTTATATTATTTTATTATTTATTAATTCTTCTAATCCAAAGTGAAACACTCGACTCCAATCAAACTATCTTGTCATCACCATTCTATTCCGTTTAATCTTATTTTCAATTTAACTTTGTTGTCATGCAATTAAGTTTCTGATCTGTTAGCTATTTTATCTCTACCCACTTTTGGTCAAGATTTTATTCCTTTTCTTCGATGTCAAACTATGTTTCCAATAGTTATATTTATTGCCATTCTAAATTCTTTCGTCAATTTAGTTTTCGTTAGTACCTTTTATTTCGGTTTTAATTTAGATATATTCTTTTATTTAATTTCTGTAAAGTGAAGAAATATGTCAAAGTAAGAAAATCAATCTATCCATCATTTGTGTAAATTAAAGTATTCTGTAAACATAATCAATATAAAAAAAATTAACAGTAAATAGATACGTACTTTTGTAAGTTTATAAACAATTAGTGATTGAAGAATTAGTGGTTGAACCCCTGAGAAGGTCCAAAAGCAGTGGCACTACCGGTCCATGGTCAAGACTAGCGGCCCATATATGGTGTGCTTCAAGTTTTCAAATTCTAACCTAATGTGGGATTGTTTTAACTTTTCTGGTCCAAAAATGTGGGATTACTCGATCAAGTAAAGAAGCTACCTCATGACCAATAATAAAGAAGAAGCTACCTTCATTGGGTTAAATGTCTGGGACTTGGGGCATCTTCAGTAGCTTGTGATGAGTGGCGATATTAGGCTTCAGCCCAATCATTTTAACATTGAACACTTATTTGCGCTTTGGCGACAACATGGAGATGTTGCGTAGCATTCTCACAAAAAAAAAATGCTGCCACAGCGATATATTAATAATTAATTTGGTGGCTGTTGAAAAAAAAAATAGTGATTAGGTTTAAGTTTTGATGATATAACTTTTGTATAACAAAAATAAAATATTATCATCCATATTGATGAGAGTTAAGGAAGGTCTATTGAAGACAAAGACTTGAAATTATTGGAAGGACTTCAAGAACTAATGACAAAGATAATGACAAAGAGAATAAACAGAGACTTAAAAAATATTGTTGTTGTCTTATTTAAAAAAGAGCTCAATTTAGAGTTAGAAAAGTTTAAGATGGTCAATTACATATGTTTAGAGAATTTGGACTCTAATAAGTTTTATTAAAATTTAAATGTTATGTTTAATTTATTTATTTTAATATTAGTCATTACTTATTTTGAGTTTTTATTTAGGATAAAATCTTGTTATTTTATTTAAATTTAAATTTGTTAGTACAAGAAGACCATTAGGGTTTGCGTTAGTATTTATTTAAAAGTATTATGCATATATAAGCTCTTGTAGATACACTTCTAATCAGTTTTGAATACAATTTGAGATTGAACACTCTTGTGAAAGTGTGTGACTCTAAGTTATAAAGTGAGCCGATTTTCTTTGATTTTATCAAGAGGTCAAGACTTTTGTGATAATTATTCTTTAGCTTATCAATTTTGCGATTGTGTCATCATTTTTTATTTTTATTTTATTTTCACTTTTTATTAATTTTCTTCTTATTTTAATTCATATTTATATCCTATTAATTTTATTTTTATTGTGTAAAATTTAATTCAAAATTATTTAATTTGATAATATGGTTTGTCATTGTCAAAACAGACATACACATATATATATATATAATACAGTATACTAATATTGTAGGAATAACAGAGAAGTTATTGCTACAATAATGGGTAAAGCCTTTTTTTTTCTTTTTAACTAGAAGAGAAATGTAATTAATTTTGATATAACTATTTTAAAACATTATAAATAAAATATTCAATTGAAATATTCATCAAAATTATTTAAAAATGTGAGAATTGATATTTTAAACTGATCAAAGATGCATCAGGCCAAACGTTGTAATGTGAAGTGAACGACTTGGTCGTGCAAGAGGTGCTATCTTAATGGAATATGGCCTCTCCTTTAGTTGCTTTTCATTTGTCAATGGTTAGACCAAAACAAAGATTACCAGTTGAACATCAAGAAGCAAGCTGAATGATCGTGCTAGATTATACCGATTTTGAACTTCAAGAAGCTTCCTAACAAAATATTTTGTGTTTATTTTTTCTTAAATGAATTAGGTTAAGTTTTATCTCTTTTTAAATGAATTTGACTTGCTTTTTAAGGTTAAAACTGGTCAGTTCAATATAGCTTGATTTGATATGAAAGTTTATTTAAATATCTATAGCATAATAAGTTCCTTTTTTAATAATGAGACCCTTCAATTAGTCAATTGACAGTTCCTTTGGCATTCGATTATATGTATGGCTCTTATGGTTGTTTAACAGTATCATACCATCTTTAAAAAATGCTGACTTTGTTTTTATCTTTTAATGGATATAACAATAAATTAAGTCCATTCTTGGTCTCTGCTCAATCTCACAGAGTTGATCAATCTAATTAAGATTTATGTGTGAGTCCTCTTAATTATATGAAATAATGCATTTGATTATCCTTCATTCTGGTAGTAATTAATCTTTCGTATAGTATAACAAACATTGTTAATTTTTAATAAAATGAAATTAAAGAAAAAATCAATATAATTTTATAAATAATGAATATTTAATTATATATATTTAATAAATAATTAAACTTTCAAATTTGAGCTGAAAATTGTGGAAGTAAATTATTTAAGGGAAATACATCAAGTTTATTGACTTGTTATGTGTAAAAGTTTAAATTATAGAAAATAACTTTAAACAAAAATATATTAAGAGTACACTAATTTTAACATTTAATTTATCTATTAAGGAATTCATTGTATTTAAAAATGCTTCGCTGAAGAGTGTAACAATTTATTCAATTGAAATTTTATATTACTACACGTTTCATTGAACTTATACATGATCGTGTGTTTGTACTTTTTAGAAATGTTAAAATACTTTAACT